AAAAAAAAAAAAAAAAAAAATGCGTGCCGGCGGTTGCGCCCTCCAGCAATCCCTGACCCCCGAGTCTTCCGCCGTCGTACGGCAGGCCGTCCTCCTCGCCCGCCGCCGTGGCCACTCCCAGGTAACCCCCCTCCACGTCGCCACCACCCTCCTCCATCCCGGCGCCGGCGCCGCCGGCGGTGGCGGCCTCCTCCGCGCTGCCTGCGCCGGCTCCCACTCACACCCCCTCCGTTGCAAGGCCCTCGAGCTCTGTTTCAACGTCGCCCTCAACCGCCTCCCCGCCGGTCCCCACCCCTCCGTCTCCAACGCCCTCGTGGCCGCTTTCAAACGGGCCCAGGCCCACCACCGCCGCGGACCACCCACGGAAGCCCAATCCCAAATATCCCCCACCTCATCAGCCCATCTCCTCCCCGTCCGCATCCCCCTCGACCGCCTCGTCGTCTCCATCCTCGACGACCCGAGCGTCAGCCGAGTCATGCGCGAGGCCGGCTTCTCGAGCACCCAAGTAAAAAACAACGTCGAAAAAGCCATCCTCAACAACAACAATAATAATAATAGTAACGATTTGCCACGAAAAAAACTACCAACAAACAAATCAAGAAACCAACACGACGCCGGAATAACCGCCGTCGAAACCTTATTGCTTGGCCGGAAAAACCCTAAGAGCATTGTTTTAGTTGGTGAATCCGTCTCCGGCTTGGAAACTTCCGTCAAGGGTTTGATGGATAGGGTCGACCGTGGATTGGTTCGTGAGGATTTGAGGGAGGTGAAGTTTGTTACTATACCGCCATTTTACACGTTTCGCAATTTGCGTCAGGAGGAAGTCGAACGGAAGGTCGGTGAGTTGAAAGGGCTCGTTAGGGGGTTGTTGGGGAAAGGTGTGGTTTTGTATTTGGGAGATTTTAAGTGGATAAGTGAGTATAGGGTTAGGTTAGGGTTGGCCGACGAGTACTATTGCTCGGTCGAGCACGTGATTATGGAGATCGGGCGTTTGGTTCGGGGGATTGGGGAGGATGAGAGGTTTTGGCTAATGGGGGTCGCGACTTTCGAGACGTACATGAGTTGTAGAAATGGGTATAATTCGCTCGAAAGCGTTTGGGGCTTGCATCCGGTCACGATCCCGAGTGATAATTTGGGATTTAGTCTCGTTTCTCAAAGGTACGACGATGTTTTTTTTCTTTTTCTTTTCGGTTTATTCGTTTTCTTTTCTTGTGATGATAAGATTGATCACAATTTTGACAAAATGTTGCATTGTTGATATCTTTTAAAATTTTGTCAACTTTTAGTGATCATGATCAAGAAGATGTCGAAAATGGATATTCGGATCAGCTACGACCGATGATTGTTAATGGAGATGTAACGCTTTTGTGTTGCGCCGATTGCACAGAGAAATTCGAAGAAGAAGCTCGGAACTTACGAACGAATAGCCTCGGCAAAGGTGGAGAGCATCCAAGCTTGCCCTTTTGGCTTAAAGATGAAAGTAGAAGACTTAATAATAGCCATAATAATCAGGTCTCATTACCTTTTTCTAGCTTAATGTAAAATATCTTGATTTAGTTAAACACTTTTTAATCTTTTTCCTTTTTCTTTTACTAGTGATTAACTTTTTCTTTTTATTTCAATCAATTTTTTTTTTTTTTTTTAAGAGCTCAGAGGCAGTCAAGGAACTATGCAAGAAATGGAACACATTCTGCAACTCAACCCATAAAACCCCACCTTTATTAGACAAAACCCTTACATTCTCTTACACACCACTTTCTTATCCTTGCTTTTCATTTGACCATCAAAAGATCGACTCGACCCGGATCCATAACCGTTTATCTTCACCCGACCCGACCCAAATATCTAATCCACTAGGATCGTTACACATGCCGGAGACTAGCAATATAAATTCAAGAAACACAATCTCTTCGAATTCGGCTTCTTCGAGTGAGGTCATGGAGGTGGATCACGCGCGACATTTCAACGAGTTCAATGGAGAAAATCTCAATGCATTATGCGATGCCCTCGGGAAAGAGGTTCCATGGCAGAAGGATGTTATTCCAGAAATTGTTGGAACCATATTACAATGCAGGTGATTTAATCTACCTAATGAAAAAAAGATACACACAATATTCTAGCATAATCGAAAAAAATTATCTTACATCTATAATAATACTATCTCCATTTCAAATTATATAATAATTATATATACAATTTTTTTTTGCTAATTACCTATGGTTGTATAAGTTTATTCATTCTTTGTAATATTATAATTATTTAAACTTTTTCTCTGTACATTTTTTTCTAATTAAGTACGAAAGGTAAAGAGTGGGATTATTATAGTAAGTGAGAATGAGAGAGAAAATAATAAAATAACTAAATACTAAAAACTAAAGGATTTATTCACATTAAGTTTTCTTTCTTATTACTTAAAGAAAAAAAAAAAAAAAAATAGTTCATGAATAGGTTAGGGAAAAAAAAAAAAACTATGATAAACTTTGAAGTACAAAAGTTCATACCCCTCAGGTCCGGAATGTTGAAAAGAAAGTCCCTATCTGGAGGCCACGGGCCCAAACAAGAAACATGGCTTCTTTTCCTCGGCCCGGACAAGGCGCAATCCAAGGAGCGAATCTCCAAGGAGTTGGCTAAGATTGTGTTTGGCTCGTACTCGAGCTTCCTCTCATTCGGGCCGGGCTCAACCTCTGCCACATCATCAAACTACGTAGAAAGATTCGGTCGGGCAGTGTCGGAAAATCCTCACCGGGTTTTCTTGTTGGAAAATTTGGAGCAAGTCGACCGTTGCTCGAGAATGGGTATCAAAAGGGCGATCGAGAGAGGGAGGATTATGGACGAGACGGGCCAAGAGTTCGGTTTTCGTGATGCTATTATCGTGTTGAGTTGCAAGGGTTTTGGGCCCACAAGGGCTCGTTCTTCGGATAAACAAGAAACGGATAAAAACGGGGTCGTTGATGAGGATGAAAGCCCGTGTTTTTCGCTCGATTTGAATGTTTCTTTGGAGGGTGAGGCCATTAATGATGATGATGATGAGGGTTTTGAATTTGATGAGTTCGGGATTTTTGAAAATGTTGATAGGTGCCTAGTTTTCAAAGAGCCATGACTTTGTAGTAGTATGTTGCAGGGTTTTGGTTTGTGGAGAAAATGAACTTTTTTTTTGGTTATTTTTATTTTGTTATTTTTATTTATTTTTTATATCTAGGGGCTATAGTTTCAGTTTATATTTTGATCATAGTTAAAGAATTAGTTTAGACATTTTAATTTTCCATAAGTTTAAACAAATAAAAAAAAAAAGGTTAATTGCTAATAAATCGATGACTTTTTTGACAATTGCAATTATATGCATCACTTTTAAACTTGGCAAATATATACACCACTTTTATAAATTTTGGCAATTGTATGCACGGGCCCAATTTCGGGCTTTGACTGCTGACATGGCTGATGAGTATAAAAATGATGCATATAATTGCAATTTACGAAAAAATCATAGTTTTATTAACAATTAAGCCAATAAAATATTTATTTAATTTTATTTTACTATTTCATTTATTATATTTCTATCTTATACTATACTATCTTATAAGATAATAAATATAAGATAATGAATATTTATTATATTGTTATAATATTATAATGTATTACATTATATAATATTATATTTTATAATATAATAAATATAAGATAATATAATATAATAATTAATAAATAATATATTATCTTATATTATATCATTTTATAAAAAAATATATTATCTAATATTATATTACCTTATATAAGTGTTCTAAAAGTCGCTAGGCGCCCGCTAGGCGTTCGACCAGCGCCTAGCGCCTAGAGCGCCTAGGCGGGGCCTAGGCGGTGCCTAGTCGGAGCCTAGAAATCAATATTAAATACCTTATTTTTTATTTAGTTTGACTACCTACAAAATAAAACTATCTCAACTTATAATAAATCGACACACCTAAGTCCAAATAATAAAATTAATATATTTTAAAGAAAACATGAAAATAAAATAATGTAATTAATATTTAAAAAAATTAAAAAAATTTAAAAAAAAAAACTGAAAAATTGCCGCCGAGTCCGCCTAGAAGCGCCTAGGTCCGCCTATTCCCGCCTAGGCGCCGCCTAACCGCCTGGCCGCCGCGCCCGCCAAGGGCGCCTAGGAGCGCCTAGGGCCGCCTAGGCCCGCCTAGGCGCCGCCTAGGCCCGCCTAGGCGCCGCCTAGCCGCCTGACCGATTTTTTCTGCCGATTTGTACAAATCGGAGGCGCCCGGGCACCGCCTAGCGCCTAGGCGCCGCCTAGGCCGATTTTTAGAACAGTGCTTATATTATCTTATATTATCTAATATTATCTTATATTATCTGATATAATAAATAATATATTTACTTATAAAAAAATGGTAAAATAAACAAAATAAATAGATTTTTATTTTTATACTTTATTATGTTAGATTATTTTATACTTATTTAATTTTCCCCGTTGCACTTTAATCTAATTTATTTTTTAATTCAATTTTATCATTATTAATTTTTATTTCCAAATTTATATAATTAATTTTAGAATTATTAAATATAATAATTTATTTTAATGTAATTTAATTTAAATGCACTATACTATAATAATTTATCTTACTATATTTTAATTTATTTTTCATTTATTATTATATGATTTATTTTATTTTATTTTAATTATTATAAGTTTATATCTTATTAATATAATTTACATTATCTTCAAAATTTGATTGTATTTATTAATACGTAGCATCCATATATTCACAAGTTTGAAAATATAATGTATTACATTATGTTATTATTATAATATAATAAATATTCATTATCTTATATTTATTATCTTATGAGATAATATAATATAAGATAGAAAACATAATAAAATAAATAATAAAATCAAATCAAATAAATATTTTATTGGCTTAATTGCTAATAAAGCCATGACATTTTCGAAAGTTGCAATTATATGCATCACTTTTAAACTCAACAGCCATGCCAGCAGTCAAAGCCCGAAATTGGGCCCGGTGCATACAATTGCCAAAAATTGTAAAAGTGGTGTATATATTTGCCAAGTTTAAAAGTGATGCATATAATTGCAATTTTCAAAAAAGTCATAGATTTATTAGCAATTAAGCCTAAAAAAAAGTCAGTTTATATTTATGTCCAAAAAAATCTCCCTTTTCTCTTTGGCGAAACCCTCCCCCAAAACTCCCTTCGGTGCGCTCCTCCAATCCCGACTACTTTTCCTTCCTCGGTGACGGTATAGTCTCTGGCTAGGAGTCGTCGATGACCGTGCCGGCCTCCCTTGAAGATGTGGGTCTCTGATACTCTGTGGATGGGTCGCGATTGGGGCTATGGCTCTCGGTTGCAGACAGGGATTCAAGTGGTGGCACCCTTCCGATCGGTGAATGGTGGTGGAGTTCCTCCGTTGCCGGCGCTGCTCCGATGGTGGTGGTAAGTCCCCTGATTCTCCCTTGTCTGCGATTGCCGGGATGTTTTTTCCAATGGAGCTTCGTCTTTCAGGCGGGTTTGAACCTTTGGTCAGGCTATCTGTGGAGATGTCGGGCGGAGCGGGTCTATGGGTGGTCGGGACTCCGGTGGGTACGGCGTGTTGGTTGTGGTGGTCGGGGTGAGGGCCGTTTCTCTCTCACAATCCCACGTTTGACTAGTGGTGTTAGGCGGCGGGGGAAGTTTTATCGGCCTCATCTACTGGTGTTAGAAGAGTTCGGGTGGAGGGGTTGACCATGGCTCTCTCAGTTATCGATGGGTCGATTCGGGGACTGGTTCGGGGTCAGGTTTCTTCTACTATATAGGATTGATTGCAGTTTCGATAGCAGGTTCTTGGCCTGGATTTGTCTTGTGTCGATTGTTCACTCCTGGTTCGGGCTAACTCGTTTGCTGGGGAAGGGCTGTTAGAATATTTTAGTTTTTGTTTTTTATGTGTGTTCTTATTTATTGTTTTCGTATCTATTTTTGCGTTTGTGTTTGTGTTTTAGCTTTGGGCCGTGGGCCTCTGTTAGCCCGAGTGTCATTTTATTCTCCTGTTGGGAGCCGACACTCGGGTAATTACCCTGTTGGGGTATTTTTAGTTTAGCAGTTTCTTTTGTGTGTTAGTGTTTTTGTATGTTAGCGAGTACTACCCCGTTGGGGTTGGCTCTATACGGTCTTTTGACTGTCCTCCCACTTTATTCAGTTGTTGGCTGTTTATATTCAGTTGTTGGTTGTTTGTATTCAGTTGGTGGCTACTCTTTTGTACATATGTTCGATTATTTATAATATCTCTATCGTTTTAAAAAAAAAAAAGAAGCTTGCAAGCAGAAATACATGTCAATAATACACAGAATTAATCTTTATACATGTTTATGATATAGTTGTTAGACATGAGAACTCTATGAATTAGAGTTTTTATTCTGCAGGAATTCGTGACATACAAGAAAGATAAAATTCCAACGGAGATATATATCAATGGCAACTCCAATGGATTCAATGCTATTATTTATGTTAGAAATTTTCAAGGGATTCCAACGAAAATTCAACAAAAATATTTTGTTGAAATAAGTTTTCCATTTGAATTTCCTTTGGATTTTGAAGATTCCAACGAAAGTGGAAATAAAAACTCCAATGAAAATTCCTACGGTAAAAAACCGTTGGAAAATTAGTTGTTAGGATCATCAAATTTCATCTAAAATTCAAATGAAAAACTCATTCCAACAGAATATTTTGGTTGGAATTTCCGTTGGAATCATTACTACAGAAACTATAACATTGGTATATTCGTTGGAATCTCTACAAGAATAAATTACCGTTGAATTTCTATTGGAATATAACATTTTTTTTTATTCTTTTAGTTTTTGGTAATGTGAACATAACTCTACGAACAAATCTGAAAATTCTATGTTGAGTGACAAAAATGGATGAAATTACATGATCAGTTAATTGTTGTTAGGTTAAGTTGTGTGCTATATTTTTAGTATCCACAATGCTTTGAGTTGAATAAAAAAACTATACAAGTCACATAGAAAATAGACTCGGTCTAAAAAAATATAGTGTTGCTATTCACCACCCCCCAACTACCGTTTTACCCTTTCACTCTCTAACTCTAACTCTCTATCACTCTCTTTCTACCCTCTCTCTCTCTCGTTTTTTTTTTCTCGTTTCAACGCTAATATAATTTCGAAAAAATGCCACAACACCGCGGGGACATTGGTAAGGGATTCTTTGCTGGCAAGGTATGTTTCTTTTTTTTTTCGTTTTTTAAATTTTTTTAGAATTTATATTTAATTTTGGGGGGCTGTCCGGTCGCTTAACGCGACCGGACATGGGCGCGACTGGTAGGGGCCCGGTCGCGCCCAGAGTCGTCCGCAGTCGGGGACTGTACGACCCCCTTGGTGTACGCGAAACGAGGCCAGACGACCCCCTTATTGCTTGCGAAATGGGGCCAGACGGTCCCCTTGCTGCTTCCAAGCGGGGGTCGGGCACCTCCACCTTCTTCCGACCCCGCCGACCAGACAAAATTGTTTTTTTTTTTAATATTTATTAGTTAAATAATTAATATAAAAATATGTAATTATATAATTTATAAAAAATAAATAATGAATATTAATATAATTAATATAATAAAAAATAATAAATAATGAATATATATATAATATAATTATTCAAATTATAATTAAGTAAATAATGAAAAAATATTAAACTAGAATAATATTCTTATAATTAATTTAAAATGTAGATATATAATATTTATAAATTAATATATTAAAAAATAATATTTTTATTATCTATAATTATAAAATATTTATATATATATTAAAAAATATATTTAAATTAAAAATATTTCGTATATAAAAATACAAATGTTTATAAAAAATAGTTAAATATTTAATTTATATAAGTTGTAATTTAATAGTTATTAATAAATGTTACTTATAAATAAAAGATTATATATGTATAATCATTTTGGTTTTTACTAATTAATTGTTTAAACTATTATTGATTTAGACTATTCGTGGTTGTGAGCTACATGCCAAGGAAGAAGAAGAGACCGTCGAGTATTATGGTTGTGGACCCCAACACACGAAAAAGTTGGTGTGTAGA